ACAGAGCTGCTGTCAGACGATCAGCTGTGCGGCGTCATCACAAACGGACGTCGCTTCACGTGACGCTCCGGAGGAAAGGACGATTTCCCTGGCTGCTTCTCAGGTCGATTAAATGGATTCCTTGCGTCGTTTCCCTGCGTTTAGTCCCTCCCACCAGGGAAGCATGGAGGGACGCAAGGAAACCACGAGAAGCAGGGAAATGAGTTTTAAGAGCAATGGGACGTCCTTTCCTCCGGAGCGTCACGTGAAGCGACGTCCGTTTGTGATGACGCTGCACAGCTGATCGTCTGACAGCAGCTCTGTCCCCGTTATTTCCACACACCCCCCCCCCCCCCCCTCTGTTAGTACACATTTACTGACATAAACATTAGTATAATCTGTTGTAGCTATCTAAATACATGAAATAAAATAAGAAGTCATTCTCAAAAAAGATAAACGCCATTCTTAAAATGTATAAACGAACAATAGTTTGATTAATATTGATTAGAGTGCACAATAGAAATAAAATAATTGAGAGAAGAAAAAGAGATATGTTATCTATCAAAACCCAGTTAGATTAACATTCATTGGATTGCACACTTTGTTTGGTTGGATATGTAGCACATTAACATTGTAATTGCACTTAATGACTGAATGAATGGAAATGACAATAAATGAAAATGTGAAACGAAAAAAGCGATCATGAAAATGTTTCCAATAATTGAATAAAATGATTTTTGACCACTTTGTTGTTCAGATATATCACATATTTGTAACTAAATGATACATGAATTGAAACAAAACACGGTATAAACTGAGGAGTGACTCCCGTGAGGTTCATGTATTTTCTTCACTCTACTCTCATGTCAAGAAGCATCAGATCAGTGCATGCGCTGCCTCGTCCAATCAGTGAGCGATACACAGTAAGGGGGCGGGGTGAGTATCTGAGGATTTCATCGGAGGATGGTCTGGTGGTTCCTCGGTTATCGCTCCTCCATGATCGCTCCTCGATCCTCGGTCCTCCGACAGAAATAAGAGCCATGGGACGGTACTCAAGATGGTGCAGGCAAATCAACTTCCGGTGAGACAGAGGATCGAGGAGCGAGGAAATGAAAATAGTCGACCTGAGAAGCAGCCCCTGCTTCTCGTGGTTTCCTTGCGTCCCTCCATGCTTCCCTGGTGGGAGGGACTAGTCACAGGGAAACGACGCAAGTGAGGGACACAAGGAATCCATTTAACCGAAGTGAGAAGGGCCCCAGTCTCCTGACCAACTTCCTCAATGTTCTCCTGAGTCTTCAACAGACTCTTCCTGTTTCTGTATCATTACAAGACATGTTCTGTATATATGAGACCTGAAAAACAGTATAATAGGGGACCTTTAAATAACATTAAAATGTAAACCCTGAGCTTTGAACACTTTAACAGCTCATATGAAATCAACACATTTAAAAAAAAACTAAAAAAACAAACAATGTAATTGAACCCCAAAATAAAAGAACAATCTGCACAAACATCTTCTATTGTTGTTGTATTTATTAAATTCAAAGTTGTTTAAATCACAAATAGAACAGATACCGGTACTTTAGTAACCAACATACAGTAATTAATATATACTGTATACGTTTACACAGTGAGGCACACACAGAATACATTTAATTAACATTTTATTTGAAAATCAAGTCTAAATACAACTAAAAAACACTAAATATGAAAAGTGGAAGAGAGGGTGATGTATGAAGGAAGAGGTGAGGGAAATGGAGGAGAGAGTTTGGAGTGAAGGGAGGCGAAGTATTGAGGAAGGAGGTAAAGGATGGAGTCAGGAGAGAGATGGTGAGGGAGCAGGAAGTAGGTACAGTTAAAGGGGGAGGGACTTCAAGTGAGTTTTTTTACATCCATTATACAGATTGTGGGAAAACCTGAGCTCCAGGAGAAAACCCTGAGTATGAAAATGGGAAGGCAGGAGGGGGTGAGGCAGGAGGAAGGAGGTGAGAGAAATGGAGGAGGGAGAGAGGAGAGGAAAAGACAGCTACTGACGTCCAGCCTCCTCCTTCTCCTCCTTCTCCCCCTTTGCTTTCTTTCTCATCTCCTCTCTTCCATCTTGTGCAGCATTTTCTGCAAAACGACGTCCCTTTCCTCAGTCGCCCTCCTGCGAGCGAAGAATCCTCTGCTCTTATTCTTCCTGTGAAGACACAGGTCCTCCAGAAGTGTCTTCTCTTCCCCCATCTTCTTCTCTTTGGTCTCCCAGCTCAGTCGCGTCTGAGCGAGGTTGTCCCTCTCCTCCTTCGCCTCCTTCAGTTGAGTCTCCATCAGATGAACCGTGGTCTCCCAGCTCTGGTGTTTCTGGCTCAGGTCTTTGGAGCACTTCTCCTTCTGCTCCTTCATCTCCTCCCCAAGCTGCTGGACTCTTGTCTCCCAGCTCATGTTGTTCTCATCCTCTGCCTGATGTAACTGAGCCTGAATGTCTTTGAATTCAGTCGCCTGGCTCTGAAGTGTCTGAGCCAGATCTTCCTTCTCCTGAGTGACCTCTTTTATTTCGGTCTCCATCGAACTGGCCTTGGTCTCCCAGCTCTGGTGTCGTTTGGAGAACTCTTCCTGCTGCACCTCCATGTCCTTCTCCAACTGCTTCACCAGCAAGACATTCAGTGTGACGTCCAACTCCAAGCTGCGGTTCTCCTTAGCCAGCTTCTTCTTGGATTCCTCCACCTGTTTCAATGTCTTCTCCATCTCTCTCCTCTCGCCCTCCAGCTGATGTTTCTCACTCTCCCAGCTCAGCTGTTCCTCGGCCAGGTCTTTGGAGAACTTCTCCTCCTTCTCTCTCATCTGGTCTTTCAGCTGTTTGACATCCGTCTCCCAGCTTGTGTTCTTCTTTGCCAGATCCTCGTTCTCCTTCTCCACCTGTTTTAGTTTGGCCTCCATCGGTTGTTGGTCTTCAGAGTTCTTTTCTCCCTGCTTTTCCAACTGGAGCACCAGCTTCTGGACTTCCTTCTCCAAGGTGTGGATTCTAAAGGTCTGCTGACTGTTGTGCTTCATCACCCCTTTCACTTTCCATTCCATCTTTCGTTTTTCCGTCTCCAAGGTGTGGTTTCTAGCGGCCTGGTAGTTTTTCTCGTCCACTACATACTTCATGCCTTGCTTTCCACTCTCCCAGCTCTGTTGTTTCTCAGCCAGGTCCTTGGTGGACTTCTCCTGGCTCTGAAGGAGTTCTTCCTCTCTTCTTTTCAGCAGGTTTATGGTCACCAGGTTCTCGTCCAGCTGCTGCTTGTGTCGAGCCTCTTTAGCTTCCATCTCCTCCTCCAGAGCGCTGTATCTTTCCTCCAGAGCGCCGTATCTTTCCTCACAGACTGTCAAACACTCAAAGAGTTCATCTCCTCTCATCACGAGCAGTTTGACGGTCTCTGCGTCAAACTGCAGCAGACTCTCATCGTTCTGGCTGTGGGATGTCTCCTTGCTGCTCTGGTCTGACTTTGTTCTATCCATGGCGCTGTCTGTGGACTTGTGTTGTGCGTAGGAATACAAATCTATGTGTGTACGTAATACGTGTATTGTCTAGAAAACTGTGAAGTTAGTTTGCTCTGACTGAATACGTGTACCACTCACCGCTCTGAACTGAAGAACTGAAGAATGCCTGCACTTCAGAGCTCTCGCAATCTCAACTTGAAGGCCATCTGTGATGTCATGTGATGAGGTCATCGCGTACTCTCATCTGTGAATATGTCATTCCATTAAGGTCACATGTGATTCCGTTAAGGTCACATGTCATTCCATTAAGGTCACATGTGATTCCGTTAAGGTCACATGTCATTCCATTAAGGTCACATGTGATTCCGTTAAGGTCACATGTGATTCCGTCAAGGTCACATGTGATTCCGTTAAGGTCACATGTGATTTCATAGTAAAATGCAATTAATTTGTCCCACTTTATGACTTTATAGGCAGAATAAATGTTGTGCTTTAAGGTCTTTACAGTTACACAATGCAAACATTTAATTTGTTTTAATTGTTCCTGATGTTGTTTTGAGTCAAAGTCACATGCTTCTTTGTAAGCACACATGTCTTTTCTGTCTTTATTAACATAACATATATAATTATTTATTATAAGTGCATTATTTGTGTGTTTGTTTCTACTTAGACACACTTAAAAAAATACTGACATTATATACAGATCAGTTGATTTTAATTGATCTTTGCACTATTTCACTAAATATAATCGTGTTTGAAGCATTAAATATAAATCTCACTATGTGTTTTACATCGTTGTGGTACACCAGGCGTCTGAAGGATGATGCTCCAATATTAAAGCTATTTGGTTTGATATATCAAACGTATTGAATTAGTCATATTTCAAATAACAGTTTGTAAATGTTTTGTACATATTGGGTACCAATTATAAATAACTGCTACTGGTTGGTAGAGTGGAAGAAGTACAGGGACTTAGGGGGTAGTACATTTGTTATTAAGAGGTAACTAGAAATAAAACACACCCTTAGTACGATTCAAATGACTGGTATAGTTTATATTGAATCATTACAGGGTATAGACAGAGGACAGCAAGCCTTATAGGTCCTTTTGTAATAGAGCGGTGCAGGGATGACGTCTGTTTGTTAGCAAACTTGGATGTTAGCATGTTAGCATCGCAATGGTTCCCTCAAATAAAAGTCAATGGGATTTTTCAAATTGGCTTTTGCACTATTCCAGAAAATCAGATCTGTGGCAAACAAATGTTGATGATACTTACACGTTTTATCCAGCACTTTAGAAACAGGGCTGAAACAGAGGGGATCATGGGATGCTGCAATGATCTGTTTGGTATTTGGAGCCAAACAGATACCAAATAGTGTGTTGCTGCTGGCAACACCACACACACTCAGAAGTCCTGTCCGCACAGAAACAGCTGTTGCTTCTACACAGCCAAACTGGAAGGGCAACGGCAAACAACGGATCTGCGTTAAAATGTTTTGGAAAACTCTTGGAGCTCTAAATATTCACTTTATAGGTTTTATTAACAAACCTGATCATCCATGTGTGATATGATCAGTGTGCTGACACATGCATATCCCAGCAGAAGCAGCAGGCTCACACACAGTCTCTGAGTGTGTGTGAACGCGTTGGGGCAGCTGTACAAAGATATCCAGATGTGGTAATCGGCCAAATAGTCTGATAGCTTGAGACTCAGCGTCTGCAAGGGGGGGGAGATATTAATATTTGTTTTTTGTATCTGAGTGTATGTGTATGAGGACTCTGTACCTTATACAAGCCTATTCCACGAGTGCATTTTACCAGAATCCTCTCCACCCGCCCGTCACTTTGGTTCACAGCCAACCAGCACTGAGCCACAAAGAGCCACGCACGTCCCTTCAGCTGCCCTCTGCATTAAGAAACACGCAGATCCCCAACACTTTACCCGGAGAATGACATTTGCATATCAATGACTGATCCTGTGTTACAGTTTTATCCCAAAGGCCATAAGACTGATGAACCCCTGAGCTCTGTGCCTTCACAACTTCATACCATCTGTTCGCATCTCACATGTGTATCTATTATTACAATAAGCAGTATTTAAATTACAGCATTTCATTTTACATTCTAGTGAACCCTGAAATGTTGAGTACCCCAAAGTGTTATGATAGTAATGTATAGTAGGGGTCCCAAGTACATAGAAACTGCCGGATGCTAACTTGCATATGTTGGGCACTTTGCACAATTAGCATAAATGGAGTTAATTAAGATGAATGGCATTATAGCATATGTAAACAAAAGTAAAACAATGATGTGGCCGAATGAGCTGCTAACAAAATAAAGTAAACCCTCTGGAGAGCTGTGAGCTGTTGTGTTTCTTAAAGCATTTTCAAGTATCAAGAATAATTTACCTACATTTGATAGATGTTTCCAACTTATAACTGAACCTATGAGGCGATATACCTCTCCTCTAGTGAGTGGCCCAGCCCTTCGTATATTCTTCTGTATGTGGCCCTCTGTGAAAAAGCTTTGGACACCCCTGGGGTAAAGGATGTGTGTGGTGATGTCACTCTTTACCTCGGACACGTCCAGGTGTTTGATGTTTCAGCTCGGGGAGGGTCCAGAGTTGTCGTGCCATATGTGCACCCCCCACACAGGGCCCAGGCTGTCGGCTGCACTGTGGGGTCAGAGACAGACCGCCTTTATAAATGAGCAAAACCAGTTCAAAGCAGCTCAATAAGGATGTGAGATTGATGTAAAACGCATCTGTGTATTGACTTTATGTGGAGTTTTGGGATTTCACCTGATGATAAAGGTGTCTTGAGAGTTCCTCCTGAACAGAGTGCATCCTGGGACATGTAGTTCTCTTGTTTGTGAGAAACCATCTTCCCCTATGAGCACCATGTACACCTGTTAAACACACAGAGGTTTCTTTTAAATATCGGATGATTTTGGGTAGCTTAGTTTAATACAAGTCAAGGAAAACAAGGTCTAATCACAAAAAAAGAGATATAGAAAAATCAGGAATAATACACTTTTTTTAAAGGAACAGAATTCAAGTTGTTTCCCCTTTACTATCAGTAAGATGTCCAGGGACGTATATCACATTTGTTATCAAAGCCATCTGCTGGATTCTCATGGCCTTGCCAGTGACCTGTTTAACGTAGATATAAAGGCGGGAACAGAGTGAGACGTGTCTCACTTCTCTGTCTGAACAGCGATATTTCAGAATGAGGAGAGCTGCAGTTTTTCTGGCGTTGCTGCTCTGTCTGCTCTGGACGGGGGCTCAGGGTGAGGATGGAGGGGGGACAGGGAAGAAAGAGGGGGAGTTTGATATCCAAGGAGTGAAAGCAGCCCTCGATCAGAGCAGCAGTCAGACCCAGATGAGCACTGACGTCTGGGCTGAGCTGAAGGAGATCAGAGACATGGCCATCGAACACAGGATCAAGATCCAGAGGCTGGAGCAAGACAACACAGCTGACACAGCTGACGTAAAACACACTGAGAGCCACGTCACGCTGCACTGATACATGCAATCATCATCACTGACACCAATGATGATAATATCTTAGATTTAGATATACAGTTAATGTGTGAAAGTTTCCCTACTTGGTCAAGCTCCAGAGTAACATTTAGTATCATCCTAATAGAAAAACTCAATATTTGTTCAGCTTTAGAGGCCAAGATGAGCTCCAGTGAAAAGGAGGTGGAGGAGCTCCAGAGAGAGAACACAGAAACAGAAACTCATAACAAATATATAGATTGGCTGTTTAATGTAAAAAACAGATGGTGAACTTAAAAGTGAGAAAAGAGAAGTCAATTATATGTTTAACAGAAATAGTACTAACAAATTGACGAGATATTTTGCTGCTGTTAACCTGCTTTTTCTCTTTATTGCAGATCTTCTGGCTCGAGTCACAGCAAGTGAGAATTAGAGCACAGGTAGGAGTACAAAGTAATCAAAGGAGAAATGACAAATATAATTATAGTTTTCTTTTAAAAATGTGGGATTTGTTTGCAGTTTAAAAGGCAACAAAATATTCCTGTGAATTTGAAAAGTGAATATTATAGTATGGTAGAACAATCTTTTAAAATAAGATCTGCAACAGTTACATTGAAAATAAGAGACTATAACTTTATTTGACTAAAACAATGTTGTTCAGCTTTAGAGGCCAGGATGAGCTCCAGTGAAAAGGAGGTGGAGGAGCTCCAGAGGGAGAACGCAGGTGAGAAACAGAAACTATTATGAAGAGTAAACATGTTGTTTAAAGAAAGGAACTGGTATCCTGAGGAGAATATTAAATATCAATCTCTGCTGGAATCCAAACCACTGACTTTTTTTGTTTTAATAGACAGTTTGTTAATGAATTCTCATCTCTCTGTGAGCATCCTCCTCTTTCTCACAGACCGTCCTCAGGTGGCATTCTCAACCGGTCTCACTGATGCAGGATCAGTCGGACCCTTCACCACCGATATCACACTGAAGTTCAGTAAAGTCTTCACCAATATCGGCCAGGCCTATAGCCCAACTATGGGTAACACACACACACACACACACACACACACACACACACACACACACACACACACACACACACACACACACACACACACACACACACACACACACACACACACACACACACACACACACACACACACACACACACACACACACACACACACACACACAAAGTTACAGATAGAGTAGATAGAATTGGAGGATGGTCCCTCTTTAATTGTCACACATACATGCACACAGCACACACAGTGAAAGTCGACCTCAGCATTTAACCCATCCTAGTACTAGGAGCCTATAGGAACAGTGGGCAGTTAGTACAGCGCCCGGGGAGAAATGGGGAGTGCCTTGCTCAAGGGTACCACTGGGAACTGGGACCTCTCCAAGTACCAGTCCACACTTCATATTTAGGTCTGTGTGGGGACTTGAACCGGCGACCTTTGGCTCACAGTCCAAGCCCCTACCGACTGAGCCCCTGCCTGACAAGTGTGACTGCAAGCTTTCTAATTACTTTTTTAAAATCATTCAAATCTTTTTCGTTTCCCTACATTTGATCTCGGAGGGCAAATAGAACCAACCCAAAGGCTCCAAAAGAAGTTATTTTAACCCGCTCTTGATCTCCCCTCACTGATCTTCTCCTCTGATGCAGGTATCTTCACAGCCCCCGTCAGAGGAGTCTACTACTTCAGAATCAACGCGTGGGAAGACAGCGGTCAAACTTGGACGGGTGTTGAACTCTTTCACAACGACCAGAGAAAGATGAGGTTTAATGATTACAATGATGGAGGTGGCTATGTCTCTGCGTCTAACGTAATACTTCTTCAGCTGGAGAAGGGAGATGTTGTCTACATCGTTCTCATCGGAAACTACAGCATTTATGATGATTCGTATAATCGTACTATTTTCAGTGGATTTCTACTCTATGCCCTGTGAAGCCCACTGTAAAACACCAACTGCATTAAGTTTCAACATTACATATTAATAAATAAGTGTGTTGACTCTATTAATATAACGTTTGTGTTAATTTGTTCTTGATTGCATGAAAAAGACACATAGTTATGCTATTGCCCTCTCGTTTCCACTGCCTGTCGTTGAGACTAAAACCATCCAAGCAAAAGATGACACATTTTAAATTAGTTTGGATAACTTGCTAACAAACAGCTAAGTATATAATCTCTCAGGCAGTGCTCTAATTCCATAGTAGTGTCACTTTCAACTGAATCCACCCAATCAAAGATGACCAGCTTAAATGAACAGCGTGCCTTTAACTTGGAGCCATGTCACATCTAGTCTGTTCAATATAAACTTGGAAATCGCTGCATTTATGTGATACAAGGTTATTGTGCTGTTTGTTGACATTGCACGTGGTAGACTAAGGAGCGGGACATCTCTAAGCAGTCGACCAATCACAACAGAGCCGGCCAGCTAACCAATCAGAGCGGACTGGGCTCTGGTTTCAGACAGAGGGTGAAAAGAGGTGCTGCAGCACAGGCAGTATGAACAAAATAAAGAGCTTTTTGAAAATTAAAGCATGGAGACATGTAGCTACATACTGATATACACCTGGACATCAGCAGGAGAGGACTCTTTAAAGTAGAGACACTACATACTTATATACACCTGAACACCAGCAGGAGAGGACTCTTTAAAGTAGAGACACTACATACTGATATACACCTGAACATCAGCAGGAGAGGACTCTTTAAAGTAGAGACACTACATACTGATATACACCTGAACATCAGCAGGAGAGGACTCTTTAAAGTAGAGACACTACATACTGATATACACCTGAACATCAGCAGGAGAGGACTTTTTAAAGTAGAGACACTACATACTAATATGTATAAGCGCTTTGAGCACCAGGAGAAGCGCTATATAAATAACATGTATTATTATTATTATTATTATTATTATTATTATTATTATTATTAATATGAACCTGGAAATGAGCAAAATATGTCCTCTTTCATACAAGTCTAGGAAAACAACCTTTACACACTGAGAACAAATATGAAAGAATGCAGTTTAGCCATTACATATGTTACTTTTGAAAGCATAATAACCTATGTTCAAGGACAAAATTCAAGTTGTTGTTTCCTTTAAAGTCAGGTTAATGTCAAGGACGTTTGGATGTTTTTCACGTTTGTTATCAAGGACATCTGCTGGATTCTCACGACCTCGTGACCTGTTTAACGTGTATATAAAGACGGGGACAGAGCGAGACGTGTCACACTTCTCTGTCTGAACAGCGAAAATTTAGAATGAGGAGAGCTGCAGTTTTTCTGGCGTTGCTGTTCTGTCTGCTCTGGACGGGGACTCAGGGTGAGGATGGAGGGGGGACAGGGAAGAAAGAGGGGGAGTTTGATATCCAAGGAGTGAAAGCAGGTTAAATGTTTACATAAAATGCTTACTTATATGTTGATGTACAGTTGTGACAGAGCTCCACAGTGACATCTACAATAATACTAATAACAATTTTAAAATGTGTTCAGCTTTAGAGGCCAGGATGAGCTCCAGTGAGAAGGAATAAGAAACATAAACTATTATGAAGAGTCAAAGTATTGAATAAGAATATAACTGGTATACTGATATACCAGCAAATATCAAACTCTGCTGCATCCTCCTCTTTCTCACAGCCGGTCCTCAGGTGGCGTTCTCAGCCGGTCTCAGTGATGCAGGAGTAGTCGGACCCTTCGGCACTAACTCAATACTGAAGTACACTAAAGTCTTCACCAATATCGGCCAGGCCTACAGCCCAACTACAGGTACTGAACACACACACACACACACACACACACGCACGCACACACACACACACACACACACACACACACACACACACACACACACACACACACACACACACACACACACACACACACACCATGTATACATCACTTCAGGGGACATTACATTGACTTACATGCATTTCCTGGAGACGTATCCTAACCTTAAGCATAACCAACACATGCCTAACCCTAACCCTAACCCAACCAAGTCTTCACCCTAATGGGGACCTCCATTTTGTCCCCATAAGGGAGGCGAGCCCCCACACGTGACTGTGTAAACAGATTTAGGTCCCCACAAGTATAGTAATGCTAGGCCACACACACACACACACACACACACACACACACACACACACACACACACACACTAATATTCATTTACAGTAGATGTGTGACTGTAAGCTTTCTTAAGAGTTTTCTTAATGAAACCATTAAAACATCTCTTAGTTTTCCTACAGTTGATCATGGTAGAAAATAGAACAAAGTTAAGAGCTCCTACATGTTCCATATTTAAAAAAAACCCATCCTTAAGTCCTGCTGAAGCAGCAGAAACAATCTCCCCTCACTGACCTTCTCCTGTGATGCAGGTATCTTCACAG